AGGGTTTCTGAGGCTGTAAATCTTTATGGGAGCAGAAAGCCTCATCTTTCTCCCATGGAACAGCTGGTAGTTTCGAACTGCTGACCTTGTGGCTCACAGTCCGATTCATAACCACTATGCTACCAAAGATTACTATTTACAGTCTAGATAAGTTATTCTGATTCATCATATTTAGCTTTTCCTGAGTTTATTTTTTCTATGAAATTTGATTCTAAAAGTTTCCTTAAAAGAAACCAAACATGGAGTAATAAAGAGAGAGACCCAAGAGGTGTTCTCTGATAGAGAATTTACAGTTGTCAGTTACCTTGGAAATTGTTTAGCCTGTGTATCAATCCAGGGATGGACCTTGAACTGAGCTTTGGATCCACCGACTGGGGCATGTGTAGCTGTACCAACTCACTCCTGAAAAGTAGAATTCTCAGTTAATCCTTCTGAGCCCAGTTTCCATCACAGTGATTATGTTAATATTCCACTAAAGACAATTCCTCAACATCCTCACTATACGGTCCCTCAACTGGTAAAATATAGCAAATGTCTAATTTATGAAACTCCAATGCTATTTCCTAACATTTCAATCCTGGTCCACAACTACTTCTCTGTCAGGACTATGTCTGTTTATGACAGGGATGAAAAATGACTTGATATGAGCAGGACAAGAGCACCGTGCTTTTTAGTCACATCTCTGATGTGCTTGGTATCTATAACCACAACTCTACCTAAGACTTTATAAATTAAGAATTTAGGAACTTAATCTAGTCAGGGAGCCTTCTACCTAGACCCAGGTGCCCTAAGTGCACAAAACAGCCTTTTCACCTGAAGATGGAATCCCATGCAACATTCAATATGCAGGTTTTTTTCTCTTCTCACCTTCATTACACTTTATGCTTCTCTGAAATACTTACCTCTCCCACATAAGCATAATTTGGGACCATATTCTCAATGTATTTATGTTTTTGAAAATTAAAGCTTCTATCTAGACAATTGCATGCACTATCACTACCCAATTCCTCCTTAGCCTAAACATCTAGACCTGCTCTACCTTTATAAGAAAAGGATCAGTATACACTGATGCTCCTAAACATATAGACCTGCTCTACCTTTATGAGAATGAGATCAGGATACACTGATGCTCCTAAACATCCAGACCTGCTCTACCTTTATGAGAAAGAGATCAGTATACACTGATGCTCCTAAACATCCAGATCTGCTCTACCTTTATGAGAATGAGATCAGTATACACTGATGCTCCTAAACATCCAGACCTGCTCTACCTTTATGAGAAAGAGATCAGTATACACTGATGCTCCTAAACATCTAGACCTGCTCTACCTTTATGAGAATGAGATCAGTATACACTGATGCTCCCACTTTAGTAACATCACAGTCACAATCTTCACAACTTACATATAGGGGTAAACGTACCTTTCCTTCAGCTCTTCGAAATGCTGTAAAGAAAGAGAGAAAGCTTTAAAATACATACAAGATATATACTGTTCTCTCAATCTCTTATTCCAAAGGATGTGTTGATACAAAAGTGATGTTTATTGTTAAGTGCCACCGAGTCAGTTTCGACTCATAGTGACCCTGTATAGTTTCTGAGGAGCAGCTGGTGGGTTTGAACTGCCAACCTTGAGGTTAGTAGCCCAGTGCTGGTCCCTAGAGCGCCAAACCAGACACCCCAAAGTGATGATTATCATATCAAAGACATGGAATAGAATGAGAAAAATAAACTCTATTCATCTACAAATGTTTTAATATTACCAAATCAGATACAAATGTAAATAAATATATTTAAATAAACATCTATGTTGTGGTTGTTCAATAATTGCATATTAGGGGAATTTTTAGAAGAAAACTGTCTGGAGTGCTTGTTGAGTCAGTTCCAACCCCTAGCAATGATATAGGGTCTCTAAGGAACAGCTGGTGAACTTGAACCGCCGCCCTTTCTGATCAAACGGACTTGGAGTTCAGTGCATTAACCCACAGCATTCTATTTTTCACAGAGCTTTGCTGCTCCTAGATGAGGAAAGATTGTCCTTGATCTCTATGATTGCCTTATAACATCATCAGAGATCACCATTCCAAACAACGAATGGAAGGCAAAGAAAATGTGGATATCATTTCTAAGCATCCCCTTGGCTCTACTTCTTTTTATCCTTACCTGGATCAACTCTATGTCTGGTTGATGGCACATTTCCTTCAATTCTTTGTATACTTTTCTTAGGAGTTCCCCCTTTCGGGCCATACAGTTTTCACTCTTGTTGAGTTGATGAAAAATCTCTTTGCTTTCGTATTCTAATTTCTGTAAATACATTCTCTCTTCTCTGTCAGACAATGGAAACTCCTTTTGAAAATCTGCACAGATCATCTTCCTCCGTAGAGCCACGTGATCCTACATCAATAAAAATGATAACATGTATTCATGTTGATTTTGTCTATGTCTTATTGTATTTTGTCTTCTAATAACTTGCTAGTCATCGAACCAAATACTTTGTGGCTTCTTCCTATTTTTTCATTTTCTCCCATGTATTCATGTTTAATTGTATTAGTATTGAAGATCTTAACTACAAATAATTTTCTTAATAAAAATAGGAATTTATGATTTTATACTTAATTGTCTCACATACTATTATTGTTGTGTGGCATTAAGTTGATTCCAACTCACAGTAACACTATAGATCAAAGTAGAACATGCCCAGAGTGTTTTCAAGACTGTAAGGTTTACAGAAGCTGGCTGCCACATGTTACTCTCACAGAACAACTGGTATTTTGGAACCTCCTGCTTTTGGAGACTTGGTGTGGATAAACACTTGACTGTTCACCACAAGGTTGGTAAAAGTTCAAATCTACCATCATTTCCTCAGAAACCCTACAAGGTCACTGTAAGTCAGAACTGATTCCATGGCACTTAACAACAACTTTTCAATTAGCTTCACCAACAGACAATAAATATGATTTTAGTTCATGCTCTTATTGCATAATTGCAATATGTCCACATGGTGGTCCAGAGGGAACGAGTTCTCTCCTTACCTCCCAAGTTCTGATTTTGTTGGTTTCTCTGGTAAGATTCATTTTATTTTCTTGCATCTTTTCCCACAGCAACCTCATTTGTTCCAGAAGCTTTTGCTGCAAAAGAATGATATGATTGAGTATGAGCTAGTATTTAAGACTCCATATCCATTGACGGAAAGGGGTGGGGCATATAAAACAAATAAGTAGGAGAAACGTTTCTGCATTTTCATTGTTAAATGTAATTGTCAAGTTTTAGGATGTTTTCTACAAACAGAGTAAAAATGTTACCAGTGTAAAAGGTAGTCCACCACTGAGGAATTCAGCCCTCAAATTTAATGTCACCTGACCAATTTTCCTTGCTGAATCTCTTTCAATTTTTGATGTGTGATTCTAATTTTTATTTCCTTCTGATGTTTCTAACTATAAGCTAGTGTTTCTTAATAGATTTGTTAGTTAGGACTTTGACAATCATTGTTATAGTGTCAATTACAGCAAAAAGATTTAACACAATTTTCACCTCAACCTTAGAATAGGTTATCAAAATTACAACAATGATCAGCAGCATACTCCTCATGATCTCAGAGGCTAGGACATTATAGGGTTTCTGAGTGGTTGGTTTTGAGCTGGCAGCCTTGTGATTAGCAGTCCACTGCTTTTCCTATAGGAGCACACCAGAACATGGTGGAGTGCTGTGGAGTTGGTTCTGACCCATAGCAAGCCTGCATAGGGTTTCTGAGACTGTAAATTTTTTTAGGAACAGAAAGTCTCATCTTTTAAACTGCTGTCCTTGAGACTAGCAGCCCAACTCATAAGCACTAACTACCCTACCAGAGTTCCTTATACCAGAACACAGGGTTTAGTAAACATCTTCCATACATGAATGAACAGCAATTATCTTCATTTTCTTCTTCCTAATCTTTCAGATAAAGAAATGTAGTGGTTAAGAGTTGGGCTTCTAACCTCAAGGTCAGCAGTTCCAAACTACCAGTAGTTCCGCAAGAGAAAGATGAGATTTTCTGCTCCTGTAAAGATTTGTTTGTTGTTGTTAAGTACCATGGAGTTGGTTCTGACTCATTGTGGCCCTGTACAGGGTTTCTGAGGCTGTAAATCTTTACGGGAGCAGAAAGCCTCATCTTTCTTCTGTGGAACGGCTGGTAGTTTCGAACTGCCGACCTTGAGGTTAGCAGCCCGATTCGTAACCAAGACGCTACCAGAGCTCTCTGGGAAATCCTACACAGGGTCACTATGAGTTAGAACCAACTCCACAGCACATAACCACCACCAATCTTTCAGACACAGGATTTCCCAGGATCAATCTTCCTTGATAGCCATTGCTTACCCGATATTCCTCAGCAATCCATGGAATGGAAGAGTGTCTGTGACTCTTATGCCCTTCAGATTTACTACAGGTCCTGCAGACTGTGTCTTTGACAACTTCACAGAAGAAGTCCTTTGTTTTCATGTGTATCATACACATTTGTTGTTCAGAGCTTGGTAAATGAGTGAGGCCTTTTACTCTGGCAACGAATGCCTGTTTCTTCAAAGCAATGCTGGTTTTAAAGTTGATTTTATATGAAGATTCTCTGCAAACAGGACAGCATGGTGGATTTTCAGCGTCCTCCCAGAGGAGATAGAGACAAGGCCTGCAAAAGCTATGTCCACAGCCAATGATGACTGGATCTAAGATGAGATCCTTGCAGATAGGGCAGGTGAATTTGTTCTTGAAGGTGAAATACATGTTTCTGAGGAGATAAAAGAAAGTGAAAAAATTATTTTTCATAATTCTTTAAAGATGTACATTGCAAAAATCCTCAATACACTTGAGCATGAGATTAGTTATCAAAAGGGGCAGTTTATGGAAAGGAATGTTGGGGAGCAAAAAGAGTCTTCATGATTTTCTGCTAGTATCTTGATTTTTTTTAGCATGTTGATTTTTAAACAATGATCTTTTCCACCCTGATTTCAGCTTCCTACTGCAATTCCATTTTGGTTTATTTATGGCCTCAACTTTAAATGGACAAGGAAGTCAGTAGTCCAGTTTCATTTCCCAGCTATAGAGAGTGGGTCATATTTTACCTAAAACAACGATTTTCCCCTGCCAATGAGTGGTTCTAAGGGTCACATGGACCTATTTTCACCAGTTGGATGTAGAAGGATGGCTATTAGGAGAATTATTGACACAGTGGCAGTAACAATGAACTCAAGAAAAGCAAGGGTAGGTCTGAGTTGGAAGCGACGACACCTAACAACAACAGTAACAACAAGAGATTTCCTTTCTTTGAGAAAGAAAGATCATGGACAACTGCCTCTACAGTGTTTGTATATAATGCCTATAAATAACGTTTTGTGACCACAGTGTTCACAAGCTTACAGGCAAAAACAAAACACTGTAATGATGAAAGAACGGAAAGAATATGGGTACTTGACAATGTCAAGGAGTCATTAAATTAGCCATCCCTGTAGCTGACAATAAATGTAAGATGATTTGTGAAAATAGAAATTATTTTACAACCACTAAAATATTGATTGATTTTGGCCAGAATCATCAACTGATGTGAAAAATCACTGGGTGATAATAAGTTTCTCACTCTCAACCAATGTCGTATAACGTATTAAACTTAATTTGCTTAACTAAAATAAAAATACTTTTTTATAATAATTTTTGACTAAATATTTTGCTATAGCTTTCTGGTGATTGCCATCTCTGAAGTTGAATGGGAAGAACTGCATGTTTCCAAAGCTGAAATCTTATTGTTTGGCTCATGAAGTAAACAATGTCTTTATATTACATGGTGGTTGGTGGTTATGTGCCGTGGAGTCGGTTCTGACTCATAGCGACCCTGTACAGGGTTGCTGAGGCTGTAAATCTTTACGGGAGCAGAACGCCTCATCTTTCTCCCACGGAACAGCTGGTAGTTTCGAACTGCTGACCCCTAAGTTAGCAGGCCAATTCATAACCACTCCTTTACTAAAGCTCCTTCTTTATTACATTGTTGTTGTTGTTAGGTGCCATCGAGTCGGTACCGACTCATAGTGACCTTATGCACAGTAGATCGAAACACGCCCGATCCTGGGCCAACATTACTACTGTTGCCACGCTTGAGTTCATCGATGCTGCCATTTGGCCAATCCATCTCTCTTTATTACATGGCTGTGTGCCGTGGAGTCGGTTCCGACTCATAGCGACCCTGTACAGGGTTTCCGAAGCTGTAAATCTTTACGGGAGCAGAACGCCTCTTTATTACATTGTTGTTGTTGTGTGCCGTGGAGTCGGTTCCGACTCATAGCGACCCTGTACAGGGTTTCCGAAGCTGCAAATCTTTACGGGAACAGAACGCCTCATCTTTCTCCTGCGGAGCAGCTGGTAGTTTTGAACTGCTGACCTTGCGGTTCGCAGCCCGATTCGTAACCACTACGCTACATAGTCAGTCTTAAATCCAGAACAAAAAATGATGCTTCAAAAAACAGTAACAATACCTGTAGGTTTATTTATAAATCAGTGTTTGTCAGAGAATTTATAGATTGAGGACCACAAAAATATTAAGTGACATCAGATATAAATCCATTTACATAAAGCAGATATGCCTGAAATGTGAAAGACAGTGTGAGGGGCATGGGAAAAGTTTAGATTAGCTCCACGTGAAATAGACAAAAAAAGAGCCAAGAATGTAATCTTTCATATATTGATAAAAACTAATAATAATTTTGAAATGAAAGCAGAAGCTGGTATCTAATTACTAATGTTGTTCTTGTTGTTAAGTGCCTTTGAGTCAGTTTCAACTCATACTGACCCTGTATAGGGTTTCCAAGGAGCAACTGGTGAGTTTGAGCCAACAACCGTGTGGTTCGCAGTCCAGTGCTGACCCTACAGTGTCACACTAGTCCATAAGTCACTTAATTAACTCCTTTAATCTGAGTTATCTATTCTAATCCTTTCAACAACATATCTTTTCTAATCCTTTCAATAACCAACACCTCATAATTAGAAACTTTGACATAGTGAGAATGAATTACTTCTCTAAATTCACACGTCAAATAAATTATTAATCTAGGATTCAAATATAAGTCCTATTGAAATTTTAATTTTAGTATCCAATATTAGTACTGAGTTAATCAACATTTACTCATATATGCACTTTATAGATGAGTCCTGGTGTGGACAAGCATGGGGCTGCTAACTGAAAGGTAGGTAGTTCAAATCCACCAGCTGCTCCCTGGAAGCCTATAGAGGATTGCTATGAGTCAAAACTGACTCTACAGCACACAACAACAACAGGAATGGCTGCATACATTGATGAATAAGACAACATTCATGTACTCAATGGCTCACAATTTTGTGGGTGATAAAAATTTAAAAAGAAATTACTACGTGAGTACAGAGAGTCCTCTCTTATCTGTTGTTCATATTTAACAATGTTAGTAGTTTTCCATAGCTCTCAACAGTTTCCAAATACTTTACCCTGCAAGTCTGAAAACTGAAGAGCTAGCACCTTAAACCAAAGATTTGAACCACTCTATTTTGTTTTGTACTCTTCAGATTGAGAATTGGCATTTCGAACAAGTTTCTAGACAGTGCTAATGCTCCTGGTTAGGAATCAGTTCTGAGAATCACCAGCAAAGCATCAAAGCAAAAACCAACCACACTGCCATTAAGTCCATTCCAACTCGGCAACCCTAGAGAAGAAAGCCTCCTTTTGGTGCTGCAGACTGATTGGTTAATTCGAACTTCTAACTTTGTGGTTACCAACCCCAAAAATAACCCAGTCAGCAGTTTGAAACTACCAGCCGCTCCGCGGGAGAAAAATGAGGTGGTCTGCTCCTGTAAAGATTTACAGCCTCGAAAACCCTGTGTAGGGTCGCTATGAGTCGGAACCGACTCCACGGCACATAACAAGCCTTTGGTATAGGATGCACCCCAATGTAGATAAAACAAAAATCATCACCACTGGAACAATAAGTAACATCATGATAAAAGGAAAAAAGGTTAAATTTATCAAAGACTTCATTTTATATGGATCCACCGTCAACACTCATGGAAGGAGCCATCAAGAAATCAAATGACATATTGCATTAGGCAAATTCGCTGCACAAGAACTTTTTTAAGTATTGAAGAGCAAAGATATCAGTTTGAGGACAAAAGTGTGCCTGACCCAAACCTTGGTATTTTTGGCAGCCTCATATGCTTGTAAAAGTTGAACAATGAATAAGGAATACCATAGACAAATTTGAGCTAAAGTGTTGAAGAAGAATATTAAAAAGGTACCTGGGACTGCCAGAAGAACAAAACAATCTGTGTTGCAAGAAGTACAACCATAATTCTCCTTAGAAGCCATTATGACTTGGTTCCTAGACCCATGGATCCAGACAATTGGAGAAATAACACCGTATACTAGACGCTGGTTTAGAACCTATACATTGTTCTAACCCTGTGTTCCTTGTACTCTCAATAGCTATTCCCACACATATTCTGGTTTCTATTTATACAAATCAGAAAAATCAAGCAGCTCATTTTGAGTGTAGCATACTGCTTCCTGGGTCACATACTGTACTTCACCTTTTGGGGTCACTGGGACTTAAGTCTAAAAGCAATAACTGGTAGATCTGTTTCCCGGAAACATTCAGCAACACCTTGCAAGACAGCAACTTTAAATAATGCCCAAGGTAATGGTTCAGATATCATCTCAGCATATACAGCTGAATTAATCTCAACAAGAGTGGGTAGAGATGTTCTCTTGATCTGGAAAGGATGGGACTGTTGGCAAGGGAAAATTCAATAGAATTTGCAGGCTCTATGGTGTGGCGCTATGGGCTAATGTGTCAGACTGCAAAGTCATTTGAACTGCAAGTTTGGCAGTTTAAGCTCATCAGTTGCTCCTCGGAAACCTATGCAGGGTTGCATGGGTCGGAACCGACTTGACGGCAATTAACAACAATAACAAATGGTGTAGTGCTGTAGGTTAATGTGTTAAGACTGCAAAGTTGGTTTGAACCACAAGGTCGGCAGTTCAATTTACCAGCTGTTCGTTGGAAACACTATATAGGATTACTATGAGTTGAAACTGACTCAATGGCACTAAACAATAGCAACAAACGGTGCAGTGCTACATACACAGGATCACCTAGAGCCTTGCTTCTCTCCAATACATGATCTATTGGTAGTGATATTTTGGGTATTAATATTGCCACCTCTTGCTATGGATTAGCAGGACCCTCATTCTCTTTACTAGTATAGGCAAAACTATCACTGCCTTTAAAATTAGTCAGACTAGAGAAGCAATTTAGAAAACTCATCCTTATAATTTTGTTTCTCTAGAACCTCTCTTGCTACCAAATGTCCTTGGCTGGGTTCTCTAGAAGCAAAACTAGTGAAACATATATATATAGAGATAGAGAAAAAGAGAGATATTTATATCGAGGAAATTACTCACAATTAGTCCTGATTATCTGTCCAAATGGGAGAAGTGGGAGAGTCCCAAGTCCGGGTCAGATGAACCACGATAAGTATGCAGGTCCGACTGGCAAGTAGGTCTAGCAGGAAGACAGACAGGCAGGCAGGAGTCCCAAGTTCAGGTTAGATGAACCAAGGTCCGCAGGAAGGTCCAACAAGCAAAAAATAGAGCAGGCCACTGACTCAAATCCAAAGAATCCGAGGTTGGAGAACTACCCAGATGCTAGATCCAGATTCAGCAGAAAAGTAAGTAAGCTTTGCCTGGATGTTTAGTATATTGTCAGCAGGCA